ACTGAAGATTTTGGAATTAACTGTAAGAAACCTTAATATGGGAAAGTTTTGACTCTGAAAAGAAACAAAAGATAAGACAGGGCTTTGAAGGTTAACTCAAGGGAACCAGAGAGTGATTAAAGGAGACGATACTAACATAATGGAGGAACATTATCTTATTATAGAAGAATTTAAGTCAGTTTTGGAACAATGTGTTCAGGATTTATTTTTAAAACTTCTTAATATTCCTAAAGTGGAGTTAACAGAGGCTATAGAAGAAGATTAGTTTTTATTGGATAAAACACAGGTTGAGGACGATTTGAACAGGGATCTTAAAATGGACTTTTAAAAACTGTCAGACCATAAAAGAGATATGGAAGACATGGAAAATGTTGTGGATTTGAAAAGAGACTTAAAAATGTTTGCTTATAAGAGTGTCATGGAGAAAGAACTGCATGGGACCTACAAGTTATGCTAGATGATATTTTAACAATATTCAGATAATAAATCAGAGGAGTGACTCTGAGAGCCATCTTATTTTGGATCCATAGAAGGGAAGTATAAAAACAGACAGGGAGAAAATTATAAGAGATTATTATTTATTTGAAAAAGCAACTGAAGATCAAGCCTCTTAAAAAGAACAAAAAGGAATTCAAAGTGGACTTATTTGATCAGGGTTAAATTGTATAAGTTGTGATCCTGGGTTGTTACTATTGGAATCTTTTATTATGACCAGGATTGTATGATGAGGATTTAAAGATATTTTCATATGGGGATAAACTTTCTATGTTCTATTTGTTAGAGAAAGTTATAGGTTTGAAAGTAAAAGGGACCTGATTGATTTAGTCTAAGATTACCATTGTTGGTATTTTTATACCTATGGGAATAAATCTTTTATGTTTTACCTATTAGAGGAAGTTATAGTTAAATACATAATGGATTTATTTGTTTAAGTTTAAAATATATGGGTTATTACTGGTATTCTTACTGCTTTTGCTATGTAAGATTGATGATTTTTTTACAATACGGCTATTATTAAGGGATGACAATTTTTTTTTT